CGCCATTGTAAGGGACAGGTTCCATGTGTATCCTACTAAATTCAAGTACTCAAAACCAAGGGAGAAACCCGGACATAAAGCCATGGAAACCAGTTATCTCCATCTCCTCCTGGGAAGTCTGCACTTCATCAGGCACATTGATGAGAGAGGATTACGTCATTTGAGATCTCACCAAGGAGTACAGACATATTAAACCAAAAAATGACATAAACCCATTCCTCAGGAGCAGATCCTGCCTCTCTCCAAGACCAACATTGTGTGGTGATCATCCCTTGGCATGAATGCATCAAGCCAGAAGGGGTACAACCAGGGTAAAATCGGTACATTCTGTAAGTGTATTTCTCAGATGTCAGGAAGACAATATAATAAAATATACCTAAGGTTATAATTTAAAGGTGTAATTAATTCAACCAGCAAAAGGACACTGACTAACTAGTTCAATGTAATAAGTGTTATTAATGTCCTGTAATCAAACATCAGCACAATTATGTACTACAAGGCTTTACAGAAAAGCCAAAATACTTCATAGCTGAACTATCTGCAGTATATTTCAAAGGATAATAGTAATACCAATCACATACCTTTAAAATTTTTAATCCATTAAACTAATTTTATTTTACCTCAAAACTGGTTACTGAATATTATTAACCTGTGAGGTATATTTTTGTGAGCCAAGCAGAAATATTAACATGTTTTATGGATGAATTTTATCACAATTGCAGCTGATGATTTTTTAGTAAGATACTCTAGTAAAACGTACCTCACTGGTATTGGAGAGAAAGGTTGACAAACCCAATGCTTAGTTAAAATTCCTTATGCAGCTATGGCCTTACTAATTCTTTTTCCCCCCAAATTTACTGAGGTATAATTGGTATACAGAAAACTGCATATAATTACTGTATACAATTTGCAAATCATGAGAAGTCAGGATTCTTTGGAAAAGACAATAATGCTGGGAAAAGCAGAAGGCAGCAGGAACAGAGGAAGATAAAGTTTGAGATGGATTGATTCCATTAAGGAAGCCACAGGCATGAGTCTACAGAAGCTGAGTAGGGCGGTTGAGGACAGGACATTGTGGGCATCACCCATTCACAGGGTTGCCAGGAGTCTGAACCAACTTGACAGCACATAACAACAATACAATTTGCTGAGTTTAGACATACATATACACTCTCATTACTATTGCTACAATCCAGGTAATAAACATATCCGTCTTCTCCAAAAGTTTCCTTGTATCCCTTTTTTTGTGAGGGGGAGGGTAAAAACACTTAACACGACATCCACCCATCTAACAAATTTTTAAGTACTTAATATCTTATTGGTAACTATAGACACTATGTTGTTGAGTAGAGCTCTGGAACTTACTCATCTTGTATAACTAACTTTATACCCATTGAACAACAACTCCCCATATCCCTCTACCCCTGTCCCATGGTAAGCAGACGGGCTTAAAAGATTGGAGATGGCAAAAGGAAGGGTCAGTGAACTTGAAGACAGATCAATAGAAATTAATCAATCTGACAAACAGAAAAAATAATGAAGAAAACTGGACAGAGCCTCAGTGAACTGGAACAATTAAATGGTCTAACATATGTGTAATTGGAGACACATAGGGAGAAGAAAGTGGCAAAGGGACTGAAAACTGTTTAAAGCTATGACAGTCAAAATTCCCAAATTTAGTGAAAAAGATTGGCTTACAGATTAGAGAATCTCAGCAAGCCTCAAACTGGATAAACACCAAACAACAACCATAACATCAACACAACAAGAAACCACTTAGACACATCAATGTCAAACCGTTGATAACCAAAGACAAAACAAAACCCCAAGAACAGTGAGAGAACAAAGAAGCATTATATACAGGGAACAACAGCAGAAATTAAAGCTGCCTGCTCATTAGAAATAACAGAGGCCAAAGTAAAGTGGAAGCACATCCTTTAAAGTGCTAAAGGAAAATCTGTCAACTCAATTCAATATCCAGCAAAAAACTCTGTCACAAATGAAGGCAAAATAAAGACATTTCCAAATCAACCAACAAAGAATTCATTACCATCCCACCCACACTACAAAAAATGCTAAAGGATGTTCTTATGGCTACGGGAAATTAATATGAGATGGAAACTTAGATCTTCAGAAAGGAATGAAGAGCACTAGAAATGATAAATATGTAAGAGATTTTTTCTTCTCTTAATCTCCTTATAATACAACTGACTCTTTAAATATAATGCAGTATGATGGAGGTTCATACTGTATATAAAGTTAAAGCTATGACACATACCAAGAAGGTGGGGCTTCTAGTCTCCTCACAGGGCACGTTAGTGAAGTTCTATTCTTTTATGTTTCCTCTCTGAAAACCATGACTGTGACCAACCTTAAGAGGGCAAGTCACTTTCCCATGATCACATAGACAATTGTACCAAAGGTCCCAAGCCAAACCTGTTGGCTCAGAATACAAGGATGCAGGTAGGAGAGAGAAAACGTATTGACTGGATCCCTCTGACACTCAACACACAATTTCTTGGGTAGCCTTGTGTGCACAGGGTTGATGCTCCTTTAAGATCAGGCTGACAGAAAGAAGTGCATGAATAGAGAAAAACAGTGTAAGCCACAGAAGCCAAGCCCAGTGAGAGAATGGAGACAAAATGTGCCAGAAAGCAGGGTATGCCAGGGTAAAGACGAAAGCTTGGGAGGCAAGGCCAGGCAGTCTAAACAGCAGCCTAGGAAGCCAGGAGGACAGCTTCCTCCCTAGCACCTCGGTGATGTCTCCTACCTTCTGACCTGCTGACTGCATGTCAACTGCTCCCCCTCACCTGGATAGGGTCCTAGCAGATGTTGTGGCTCTTCCCGGACAGTCCAGCTAAGTGATGAGTTTTGGTTTGGGAAAACGGAATTCTTGCTCATACAGAAAGAAAATGCAGCAACTGTAGGATATGTGCTTTAAGGTACCATTTCAGAACTCAAAGCTAAACTGGGGTGGGGGAAGCCCAGAGTGTGGCATAAAGGACCTCTGAAGAGTGAACTCTCAGCAGTGGGAAAGGGGATGAATAAGGCATGGGACCTCAGATCAGCCAGCCAGCACATTGAGTCTATTCCTCACTGGATGAATGAAAAACCTCCCGCTTGACGCAACAATACCCAGGAAGAGAATCCAGCCTGGGGAAGAAGGCCTGAGTGTATTAGACACACAAACACCTATCTACCTATACTCAACTGCACAGAAAACTCAGCTTTTCCCTGGGGGCCATGGAAGCCTGTCTTTGTTTTCCCTTTTTTACAATTTTCAGTCCCTCAGACTGGTGATAGCAAATGTTAAATTTTTAAGGGATTGGGGTTTTTTTTCTGCTTTTTCTCCCCAAATCCCCCCAGTACATAGTTGTATACTCTAGCTGTGGGTGCTTCTAGTTGTGGTATGTGGGACACCGCCTCAACATGGCCTTATGAGCCGTGCCATGTCCGAGCCCGGGATCCAAACTGGTGAAGCCCTGGGCGGCCGAAGCAGAGCGCGCGAACTTAACCATTCAGCCACAGGGCCAGGCCCATGTCTTTGTTTTCAACTACAATCCTAAGGCAAAGCCAGCTATGCCTGGCAGCTGCTCCATCCAGTGCCTCTTCTGCACAAGGGGTTTAAGCTGCTCGGTGGGTCCGATTTTAGGTTGTAAGGAACGCCATCATTACCCAGTGAGACCAGGCTGCTGTAGTTCTCCAGCACTTCTCTCTATAGGTTCCTCTGAGCGGGACTCCACAGCCTCCACACCTCCTAGATGAAATCCACAGCCATATCTCCAAATGCCATGAAAGCTTGCTATGCCAAACACAGCCCTCCTCACTGTTACCAGCCTTGCCCATAGTTCAAAGTGAGGGAGCAAGAAAGTTGCCCCAACGAATGTAGGGGAAATGTCTAGATCCTGCTTTTTTTTTTTTTCCTGAAGAGTAGCCCTGAGCTAACATCTGTTGCCAATCTCCCACCACTTCATATGTGGGTTGCTGCCACAGCATGGCTGATCAGTGGTGTAGGCCCATGCCCAGGATCCAAATGGCTGCTGAAGCAGAGCACGCCAAACTTAACCACTATGCCACAGGGCCAGGCCCTAGATCCTACATTTTTTTTTTTTTTGAGGAATATTAGCCCTGAGCTAACATCTACCACCAATCCTCCTTTTTGCTGAGGAAGATTGGCCCTGAGCTAACATCTGTGCCCATCTTCCTCTACTTTATATGCGGGATGCCTGCCACAGTATGACTTGATAAGTCATGCATAGGTCCAGGCCTGGGATCCAAACCAATAACCCTGGGCCACCAAAGCAGAACACATGAACTTAACCACTGTGCCACTAGGCTGGCCCCACTAGATCCTGCTTTTGACTGTAACCCTAGGGCTTGGATTCCAAGACTGTTAACTCTGGTCTCTATCAAACCAGCATCATTTGTCTACTGTCTAGGTCCTAGTCTGGCTATTATGGGGTTTACAAGCAAAAATAGAATTCTTAACCTTGAGTATTTTAAATTTAGGAAACTACACATGAAAATAAAACATATAGAGTCATAGTCTTTCTGGGTTTTAGGAATTTGGAGATTACTTGATCTAACCGTATTAGTTTTAAGGATCTGTGCTCCTGAATGGGTTAATTTTTGCTACCTAGTGTAGTCTGAGGACAAGCAGAGTCAATATCATCTGGAGCTTGTCAGAAATGCTGATGCTCAGGCTTCACCCCAGGTATGCTGATTCAGAATTTGCATGTTTACAAGATCCCAGGTGATATGTATGCACCTTAACATTTGAGAAGCACTGGATTAAATGATCTACCCACACATGTGGTTCAGTAAGAGCAACAACTAACCAACAATTAAACTTCTGGTTATCCCAAACAGGATCTCTCCTCTACATTATCACTAGACACTTTCCTTTCTTGGGATGAAAGCAGCTTTGTTATGAATAATAGATGCCAGGGCCCCACCCCAAACTTATAATCTCTTGGAGGTGGTGTTCAGGCATTGTATTTTAAAAGCTCTCAGCCACAGCCAGGGTCAGAGGAATCTCAAGAAGTCACCATAGGATAGAGAGATCAGAGGAAGTTTCACGAAAGAGAGCTGAGAATTTTGTCTTGAAGGATGGAGAGGGTTTAGAAGAGTCAGGGGACAGGCGCAGGCAAGGTATTCCAGATGAGGTGTGGGAGAAGGTAGAGAGGGATAGGAAGTATACTATATGGAAAGAGGAGATGGAGAAAGGTAAGGAAGAGTGTTTTCAGAAAGCAGACAATCCAGATTTCCAGATGGAAACTCCTAATTATTAAATGCTGAGCACTCTTTCAAATATGAAACATGAGGCTGGCCAAACCAAACAGGTGTATGGCACGTGTGGACAGCTAGATGGCATCCTCGCCTATATATATAGAAAATCAGGCTGACGCAAGGCCATTTGCTACTGAAAACTTCCCTGTCTGAGGCCAGGGCAGTCTGCCCAGGGACTCAGATCCTGAAACCCTGACCTCCCTCCCTGCTTTCTTCCTACTGGCCTGTCTCCAACTCTTCATCTTGCTTATTCCCTCAAGGGAGCTCAGGCAGCCCCTCTTCCTGGAAGTCTTCCCTGGTCTATCTCCATGCTCCTGAGATCCCCGCCACCCCTGCCCTTCGCATACAGCAAGCATCACCGGACACTTACACATGGATGGCTCTGCCCTGTTACTTTGAACCTCCACGTGTGTTAACAGCTAACTTCTTGGTAAACGACTGAGTCAAGAGTCGGGCACAGAGACGTCGAGAGAGGGTTTTAAGTAAGCCTAGGCACTTATCCAGGGCCAGGGCCGAACTGAAATCACCAAGGACAAGGGAGCCTTCGGCGAGAGAAGAGAATGGATTCATCCTCCGAGAGGTAAGAAGGAATTTTAGGAAATTCTTGTCTCTCCCTGGCTCTGTGGGCCACGGGACATTGTCTTGGTCTTCCTAGAGAAGGAACGTCCCAGAAAGTACAGCTGTGGAAAGTAAAGAGAAGCGAGAGGGGCCCGGGTGGAAATGCCCTCCCACGAGCGAAGTGGGGCTTGTGTTCCGGCTCCCCATCTGGGCCGTCCCAGAGGGCACCAGCGCAGCCCTGTTCTCAACCAGAACCCCGAAAAAGACCCAGCCAGCCAAGCCGACGGCGGGCTCAGCCGAAGCTCTGGTCTAAGAGTGAGGTTCCTGTCCCCCAGGAGACGAGAGCTTGCCGTAACGCTGTGAACTCCAACAGAAGAAAAGGTCTCAGGGCACCCGCAGGGGGGTGTTGGGGTCGTGCGCGTGGGCTCAGAAACGGGGTGTGCCTCGTCCGGGACGAGATCTCGGGAAGACTGCTCTGCCCCTCCCAGCTTCGGTCTCTCCGTGGGTTTCAATGGAGTTAAGAGAGAGTGTGAGCTGGACTAGACCACGGCTGCCTGGCGCTCACCGAATACCGGGCACAGGTTCCCAATCCCGCAGCTAGAGCCGAGAGTCCCCTCACGCCCACGGCCCCGGATCCGCGCCAACCCCAGAAGCCCACCAGAAACTCCCCTAACGCGTCATTCCTGCGCGCCGGGAGGCGGGCCCCCGTAAAGGATGCGGAAGTCACTGAAGGGGCCACTGGGGAGTGTAGTCTTTGATGCAGAGGCGTTAGCGAACGTATCACGGCACGGCGGAGAGCTTCACCCGGGACCCTCTACATGTTTTGAGAACATGGTTTTAAGAAAAAAGAGGGGGAAATCTACGTGCCACCGTGGTCATTCACCGTGACCGGAGCACGTTACCCACACCCTGCTCCCTTGGAGGCCAGTAGGAACTGCAGGCCGTCAGCGCGCTTCTAGTTACGCCGAGCATCCTGGGAGGTGTGGTCGCGGCGCGGTGCCGAGGGTTCTGGGTAGAGTAGTCCTGGCTCCTCGCTGGAGTAGATGCCCAGCTGGTGGCTGGAGTGACCCCTTGTTCTTTGGTGGCGCTGGTGAGTGAGGCTCCCGCGGGACCCTTAGGGCAACCGTGTCCTTCCCTGCCCGGAAAGGTAGGTTCTGAAAGGCTGGTTTATGGGCTGAGGCTGGGGACGGTGCTGACGGCGGGGAGAGGAGGTAGTGGTGGAGACGCGCTGTCGTGGCTCAGGCCGTGCTCTCCCGGATGTCTTATTTTGGGGCTGTGGGCGCGCGTCACCGAGGAAAGCGTGTGAGGTTCAGCTGTGAAGCCCAGAAGTGGTGGGTCCTGGGCTCAGGCCTTTCGTCCTAGGGTTCCTGTGAATGGGGACAGGTTCGGCCTTGGCCGAAATAGCGATATTAGGAGAGGGGCTCGCTCATGTCACAAGTCCCCGTTTTGGGGGGGTTGAATAAGTAGGCTTTTGGACGCCTGCTGTTTCCCAGGTGGTGATGTGGGGACTGCCCTGGGGCCACGTGTCTGGGGTTTTGGTTGGTGGAGGCTGACCATCTTACTTCGGGCCCAACTTCGGGCGATGGGCGGCCTGGCCAGCCGTGCCCCTTTTGCACTGGGTTGTGGAGTGGCCATTTTGGCGCGGTCTCAGGGTCTCAATTTGGCTGGTTGCCCCTGGGTTCGGGCCTTGGTGGAAGAGGTCTGGCTGGGACCCACTAGATAAGTTTTTCAAAGATCCCAGGGACCGTCACTGACCACAGGAATCACGGATTCCCACATGTCTGGTGTGGCCAGGCTTTGATTTTAAATTGCGTTTTAACTTTTTATTACAGAGAAATTTCAAACAGTCGGAAGTAGAACTCCGTAGACCCATCACCCAGAGTCAACACTTATCACCTCGTTACCAGTCTTGCTTCTTCTCATAATGAATATACTGAGAATCCTTACAACCCAGAGGTTGCCAACACTGCCCTTCCTGGTTAAGAATATGGCCTTTACAGCCAGATTTCATTCAGGTTCTGTCACTTTATAGCTGGGTCACCTTGGGCAAGAGACTGACCTCACTGTGCCTCAATTTTCTCATCTGTAAAATGGAAATAATAAATGGTACCCTCAGTGGGTCGTTGTGAGGATAGAATGAGGTAAAACTCCAGTGGTGCCTGGAATAGTCTCTGGTATATACTAAGTGCCGGTGGGTATTAACTTTCCTTACTAAGAACAAAGGCGACAGAGGAGCAGCTCCTGCTCAGTGTCAGCAGCATATGAGGGCAGGCTGCGTTCACAGCCCACGTCCAGCTCTGTTCCCTGCAAGCTGCACACAGTCTTTTCTGTGGCAGATCCATTGCTGATGCATTTAAGGACAAGGAAGCCCTACTCTGCTGGAGCTTGAGCGTTTCCAGGGACTCTCCTGAGCCTTTTTGTTCTTGCTCTGTCCCCTGCGGCTCCTGCCTGTCCAGAGAGGACTGCCTGGTGGGCAAAAGGAGGACTCCTGGGCCCCTGACAGCCCTGCCTCAGGTGGGGACCGCTTACCTTTTGTGTGAACCACGGGAATGTTTCTTTTGCTCGACTTTGACGTCTTGTGCCCTGCGATATCCTATTTGGGGATCAGAGCCCAGCTGTTTTCCCCAGGAAACAAAGCCTGTTGTAAGGGTGATGGTTTCCCCTGGGACCGTTCTTTAGACCTGGTGCCCTCATTCATGACCCCTCCATCCTTGCGCCAGCACTCCTTCTCTTAAGGTTTTGCTCAGACTGCTTACTCCCAGGGCTTGTCTTCTGTGAAGTTACCAACACTCTGTTCTTGTTCCCTCCAGTGCCCTCACTTACCCTTTTCCCTGCTAGAGTAGTTTGCAGCAAATCCTCATCATATCATTTACCTGCAAATACTTCAGTAGGCATCTCTAACACATAAGGACTTCTGTTTTAACATAACCACAATTTCATTGTTACACTCAGCAAAATCAGTAGTTCTTTCCCCAATTGTTTAAAAAAATCTCTTTTTCCTTTTCCTCTGAGCAGCCCTGGGCAGAGGCAGGAGAGGGAGCTGTATCTGGAATTCAGCATGGTGGTTTTCCCTGTCTCTGCCTCCCTCTCTTCCCCCATTTCTTCTGACCTTGGTGACCTAGGCTAACAGCTGCCACTTCCACCCGTGGTACAAGCTGGGCCTCTTCAGTTCTCCTTGGCTCTCTGTTCTTTCCAAACTTAGCTCCCATTTGGTTGGCTGTTGCGTCCTCTCAGTTCCACCTATGCTGCGTCCCTTGATTCCTCCTCCTTCCCTTTGTGTCCACTCCTGTACCACCCTAGCTTCCTGTCTCTTCACCTTTTTATCCCTCTTTTCCCATGCCTCTTGAGATGGTTCCTGAGGTGTAAGTACTGATCTTCTCATTCAACCTGCTAGAAAGAGTTTAGAAATTAGTAATCTTTCTAATTGTTTCTGTCCAAACTCTAAAGTTAGACTGCCCAGGTGCAAATCGCAGCTTCCCCAGATTCTTGCTATGTGGCTATGAGCATGTTACTTGACCTCTCTGAGCCTTCCTTTCCTCATCTATAAAATGGGGATCATAATGCTGTCCACCTCACAGGGATGTTGGGTGTGATAACACTTGCAATGAGGTCAGGGCGCCTGGTCATAGGAAGTACTAAGTAGTTATTAGCTGGGATTGTTATTGTTTCCAACTTCTCTAAGTTACCTTTTCAGCCTCTTTCTTTACCACCCACCTGTCTCAGACCCTGTTTTACAGCTGCATGGAGATATATTTCCTTCTATGCTCTTTTATTTCTCCACGCCTCTCTGCTTCGGTATACACTCCTGTTGCTTGAGCTCAGATCCCGCTGGAGAGCATTCCTGGATTTTCCCAGGCAGTACTCGCAGTCTCCCTGTCAGCAGCAGAACACTGGACGCGTCAGGACTCTGGGGCCCTCAGGCAGCGCTGTGACTGTCTGTCCGACTGTTCCATGGACTGTGAGGCCGTTCCTTGAGAGTCAAGCACTTCGTCTTGCTCCTTTTGGGTCGCTGCTACAATGCTGACAGCTGGTTAGATGGAGTGGTGATGCTGTGTGAAGACACATGTCATCCTTGCTGGCTGCAAGGGAACTTCACTTGGGGAGTCAGTGGAAAGATGTGGTTTAGGTATTATTGGAGTGAGCACTAAATGACAAGTTAGTGAGCGTGGACTTGGTCTGAGGGCAGGAGGCACTCAGTAAAGGGTTTTGAACAGAGCAGTGACCATGATCCCCCTCCAGCTATTGCCTATGCCTTTCCTTCCCTTTCAAGGAGCTAAGAAATGTCTGTAGTTGCTGTCTCCGTTAGTATCCTTCCGTTGTCTTAAATATTCGAATGAGGTTTTTTTCAGCTCAGTCCACTAAAAATATTCTTGTCAAGGTCACCAGTGATCTCCCTGGGGCTAAATTCCATATTCAGTTCCCAGCAACATTTTACGTATTTGCCTACTTCTTTCTTTTTAAAATATCCTCTCACGTGGTTGTTCCTGGTTTTCCTCTGACCTCATAGGCTGCTCCTCCTCTGTCTCCTCTGCCAGCTTCTCTTCTCCCAAACCCCCACTGAAGGCACAGGTTCAGCTCGTAAACCTCGTCTTCTCCAGCTACACTCTCTCCTTGGTGGCCCTGTCCACTCGGAAGGCCTTAATGCCATCTCTCTGAGGTGCAGCCTAGACCTGGGCCCTCATCTGCAGATTCTAGACTCCTGCTGTCTATTTCATGCTTCCACCTGGATATCTCCTGCGTCTCCCAAACCTAATGTGTCCAACAGCAAACTCTGATCAACTGCCCCAAACATGCTGCACCGCAGTGAGTACAGACAATTCTTTCAGGGAGTTTAGCTCTAAAAGGGAGCAGAGACATAGCTATTCCCTCCTTCAGATTGCTCAGGTGCAGAACATTGCACTCATGCTCGACTCCTTTCTTGCTCTTATTCTCCATCCCCAATGAGCAAATCTAAACTCCAACAATCTCCAATCTCCTCCGCTTCCACCGTGGTCCAGGCCACCATCGCACCTAGATGATCAT